CACAGAAAAAATAATACAGTGGCAATTTATCTTTTTAATTGCAAAAATCAACCATTTAAGAAGACATAAAGCAAGTCCAGAGGAGAGTCACAAAGATGGTCAGAGGCGTGGAGCACCTCCCATATGAGGACAGGCTGAGAGAGTTGGGGTTGTTCAGCCTCAAGAAGAGAAGGCTCCGGCGGGACCTTATAGCAGCCTTCCAGTACCTGAAGGGGTACAGGAGAGATGGGGAGGCACTCTTTATCAGGGAGTGTAGTGACAGGACAAGGGGTAATGGTTATCAGCTGAAAGAAGGTAGATTTAGATTCGATATTAGGAAGAAATTCTTCACTGTGAGGGTGGTGAGGCACTGGAACAGGTTGCCCAGAGAAGCTGTGGATGCCCCATCCCTGGAGGTGTTCAAGGCCAGGCTGGATGAGGCTTTGAGCAACCTGGTCTAGTGGGAGGTGTCCTTGCCCCTGAAGGGGGGTTGGAACTTGATGATCTTTATGGTCCTTTCCAACCCAAACCATTCTGTGATTCTATAAAATAGAACTAAATTTTAGCCTAAGCTCACCACTTACTATGGTGTTTGGTTTGATACTAACAATGCAACCTGAACTGCAGATTTTTAAAAATCATTTAAAAAACAATCAAAGTTGAGAGCTAAGAACTGTTCTGGTAAATAACACTATCAATAGATATAGCAGTTAGCAAACATCAAAGTTTCTGCTAGGTAAGTTAGTTAGTTTACTTATGTTAGTACTTAAGAGTCAATGCTATCATCAGATATTTGTCAATTAAGATGAATGAAACCTAAGCACTTTAACAGACACTATTAAAACAAGACAAAATGAAAAATATTTCAGAACAATGATTTTCAACAGGCCTGTGATAATACATGGTGATGAAATTACAATCTTAAGTAGATGAAATCAATGTACTGAAAATGGAGCTGATGTGAGGCAGTGTGAAGGTACTTTTTAACTTCACACTGAGTAAAGCCACTTCTTTTCCTTCTTCCGTAGCTCATTCTGCCACAGAGGATTAAGATATTGTAGCTCTAAGTCCTTCAACAGTTTCAGCAAGCCAGCTCAGAAACTAGTAAATTAGTGCAACTACCTTTCATTCACACCATTAAATCAGTTTATTTCTAATTTGCCCTAATTAGGTAGATGCAACTTGTGTGCATACTTAAGGCATCATTTGAATCTGTCAGCAATACATGCCTCCCACTATAAAGTGAATGTTAGTGCAGACTGAGCATCAGCAAAAAGCCAAGCTTTATACTTACGCATGCAAAGAAAAAGCCAAACAAAAGAACAATAGCTACATATAATTACATGCATGAATGAGGATATGAAACTGGATCAGATTTCTGTAAATAAAAGCCTTTGATCTTGGGAATCCATGCACTCTTTCAACTTTTGCTGTGGTCACACATGCAGAAAATTAGGAGTGGCCACAGTTCCTCCAGACGCAGCAGTTACAGAAGTTAAATATTTGCCTGGTAGCCACATATGAAGTGTCTAGGGCCTACTTAGAGAACGAATGCTCTAAACAACCCCAGGCACACTCTGCCACACTGAACATCATGGTCAGATCTAGGCTAGGGAAGATTTGCAGAACAGCTACAACAACAAACCAGCTCTGTGCACACAATGCTTATACCCATAACCAGCCATTGTGCCACTAGGACTGTTATCTATAGAGGAAAATGTATTTGCGAGAGTACATCAGAGAAACGCATCTCCAACTCAGCAGCACTATCCTCACAAAAGCTTCTGTATCTAGATGCAGGTCTGGTCTACTCTAGCCACCAACTCCCCACTTTACAGCAGGGCTCCAGAGGTGATGCTGGTTCAGCACAAACGCTGTAACCCTGAGGCCTGTGGTCTTAGCCGAGGTGAGGGCGATTCCATCGCACTAGGCACCCCCAGGATCCTTCCGCAGCTGCAGAATGAGATCCCACGCCTCCCGAGCGATTACTTTCTTCTTACCTTTCGCTTAGGGCACCATTCCCCAGCGCTGAGGAGCGCAGGGCAGAACCGAGCGCCTTCGGGTCGGCGGCCTCCTTAACAGGCCGACCCCGCCTGGGCCTGCCGGGCCAGCGCCTTGCCTCGCCTCGCGCGGAGGCTGCGACACCCCGTTAACCAGCGTTTCAGCCCCGCGGAGGTACCAGCTTTGAGGGCGCTCGAGCGGGGGAAGGCCCGCCCGGCACAGGCGCTCCCCCACCCGCTG